CCATATATTTTCCTATATTTTCTGGGTTTTTGTCTTCCCCCCACAATTCCTATACTTTCCATATTTTCGTGGGAATCGCCGATTACTTGTGTCTGTGTGTGTTTTCCCCTCCTGACAGACGACAATCCCAGGGTCAGACGTCGGACCCGCGTCCTCCTACCAGACAGACGCCTGGGCCTCCCCGCCGAGAAGGCCCCTGCTGCGCAGGCCTCGTCTCAGCAGAGGCCGCCGCGTAGATCTCAGGCGCTCGCCGCTCCGCGCGCCCGCGGCAGGGCCACCCGGGTGGCCCTGCTGAAAACGCGGAGGACTCGGCAGACGCCTCAAAACCTAGGGCTGGAGGCGCGATCGGAAGCGGAACGTCGTTCGCAATGCCTGTATCTGCTTACGAGATATAGGTTCCAAGCGCGGCCTTGTCTGGAACCTCAACCGGCGTCGGTGCCGGCGCTGGCATCGATGGCGACGCCAGCACCGACAGGCGCAGAACCGCTATTAGCACCAGCATCAACACTATCCAAATGGGGGCCCTGCGAGTGTCTGGAGGAGAAAGGGGGGGCGTCGAGGGCACATGGGAACGAGGAGGGCGAGGGGTAGAGCCTACAAGGAGGAGCTGGAGGAGGGGTAAGAAAGATATGTGGGGGGCAGCAGCAGAAGGAGTGCCAGGACAAGGAGGAAGACAAGACCGAAAAGCACTATCACCATACCGACTTATAGCCTCAGCCCAGCATCCCAAGCAGCGATGTTGAACAAGGGTGGCTACACATGTAGTTCGCGGGTCTTCCGAATCACCGTCTCCGCGCTCCCGATTTGTTAACGCCCGTTGACGTCGTCGCTGTCGTCGTCATTGCTGGCGTCGCCCCCTCCCTCCCTCCCTCCCGCACATCCTCCTTCTCCCCCTCCCCCTCCTTTGCCTTCCCCTCCTTATCCCCTCTACATGATGTTCCACCTTCTCCTCGTCGTTATTCTGCCTCGTTCTTTTCTGCTCCTCGTTCTCGCCATCGTACTCCTGATGCTTTTCCTCCTGGTTCTCGCCCCTTCTCGCCCCCCTGGTTTGCCCCCTCGCCCTTGAAGTTCTCCTCTCGCCGGAGATGTCAACATGGACTGAGGCATGGTGCCCCCCCTCGCCTGAGACTTCACATGGCTCAGAAATCATATTTTCGCCTTGGCGCCAGCTAGCTCTTGCCTCGGGGCAGAGGCGCCCGGGCCCCTCATGGGGCACAATCCGACCGTAGCACTGTGCTGTAACTGGTAGCTTGGGCCGGGTTCCGTCTGACTTCTCTCTCCTACCTCTCCGGGCCCAGTTGTGAGGATGTCTCAGGCAACGCTGATCAGAATACGTCGCGCGCGGCATCTCGCAGCCCAGAGTTGCGAGGGGGTCTCAAGCAAAATTGGCCTGACCATCTCTCGCGCGAATCCTTGGAGCCCAGAGTTGCGAAGATGGTTCAGGCGAATCTGGCCGGAGTACCTCGAGCGCACCATCCTTGAGCCTGGAGTTGCGGGGATGCATCGGGCGAAATTGGCCAAACGACCTCGGTCGCGGCATGTCCGAACCCAGAATTGCGAAAATATCTCAGGCGAAATTGGCCAAACCACTTCTAGTCAGGAGCATATCGGAACCCAAAGATGCGAGGATGTCTCAGCCGAGTTGGGCAGGACAACCTCGCGCGTCGCAACTTCGAGCCTAGAGTTGCGAGGATGTCTCGGGCGATTTGGGCCTGATCACCTCAGGCCACAACAGTTGCGAGAGTTAGGCGAAACGGGCCAGACCATCTCGCGCGAGGCATCGGTGAGCCTGGAGTTGCGACGATGTCTCAGGCGAAACGGGCTGGACCACTTCAGGTCGGAGTATCTCTGAGCCCGCGCGTGACATCTTGGAGCCCAAAATTGCCATGATGTCTCAGGCAAAATTAGCCGGACCACTTCGCACGCGGCATCTCGGAACCCAGCGTTTGGAGGATGTCTCAAGCGAGCTTGGCTGGACCACCTCGCGCCTGGTTTCTCAGATGTCTGAGTTGCGAGAATACACCAGGCGAGTGGAGCTGGACCACCGCGAGGATGTCCCAGGCGAATCGGGCTGTACCAACTCAGGTCGGAGCATGTCCGATCCCAGAGCTGCGAGGATGCTTTTTTGTGAAAATGGGCCAGACCACCTCGCGAAAGGTATCTTTGAGCCGGGAATTGCGAGGATGTCTCGGGCGAGTTGGGCTGGACCACATCGAGCCAGGACATATCTGAGACCAGAATTTCAAAGATCCTCAGGCTAGCTGGGCCGCACCTCTTCGCGCGCGGCGTCTAGGATCCAAGAATTGCGAAGATGTCTCAGGCGAGATTGGCCAGACCACCTCGCGCGCAGCATCTCGCCGAGTTGGGAGGACGTCCCAGGCGAGAATGTCTGAAGTAAGATTGGCCAGATCACCTCGTGCGCGGCATGTCTGAGCCTAGAGTTGCGAGGATGTCTAAGGCAAAACGGGCTGGACCTCCTCAGGCTAAGGGCATATCTGAACCCGGATTTGCGAGAATGTTTCAGGCATAACGGGCTGGACCACCTCGCGCGTGGCATCTCCAGTCCCAGAGTTGCGAGAATACCTCAGGCGGAATGGGCCTGGACACATTTTTGGCCCTGGCAACGCGGAGCCCAGAGTTGCGATGATTTCTCAACGCAGCGCTAACTCAGTGCAGTGGGAAGTGATGCGACACTAATGCAATCCCATGCGTTGTAAAGCAATGCCGTGCAATGCAATGCACTGGCACTGCATGCATGCGCAATGCAAATGCAAATGAAAGTGCCGATGGGCATAGGACAGAGGCTTCCACCGCGGGGGATGCGGGATAAAGAGAGGGAGGGAAGGAGCACGATGAGGAGAAGCGGGGGGAGGAAGAGGAGGAGGTAGACTTGTTTACCTGAATTCACCATGCAACCTGGCATGAACTACAGTGCAACACCAATGGCACGAGGAGGGGCAGGCAACAGGATCAGGCACATCGGAAGCGCACTTAGCATGACAAACACTCACTTAGCAGGAACACCAGAAAGCGCTGACTCGGGCCTGACAGCGCCGACAAGTGTCCAACCAGCGTTGTCTCGGTCGGCCCTCCTCCGTCTCCTGGAAGGGGGGGGGGGGTCCTGTGGTCACTGGGCTGCCCCCTGGAGGGAACCATCGGTCGTCGGCGCGCCCAGGGGGGGGGGAAGTGGGAAGGAGAAGGCCTCCTCAGACGGCGGCGGGGCTCCTCAGAGGCCTTCCGGCCTTCTGAGAAGTTCTCCGCGTCTTCGGGGAAGGCTCGGGACACGTCTCGGAGAAGGCCCGAGGCCTTCCGAGCCTTCCGAAACAGACAGGAGATCCAGGGGCACCCTCCCCAGGCTGAACAGGAGCATCCGACAGGCACGAGTAACTGTGGGGTGCCTCCCCGAACCGACCTCGAATGCTACACCCCGGTCCGCCTGTATGTCATGGATGAAGGGGCCCTGGGACACACAAATAAATAGACACAAATAAGAAGATTCCCCATATTTCCCCAGATCTTCTGGGTTTCTGTCTTCCCCCCCCACACTGCCCATATTTTCCCATATTTTCCTGGGGATCGACGATTCATTAATTGTGTCTGTGTTTTTTTTCCCCCTCCTGAGTGTATGTCATGGAGCCTGTTTGTGGCCCGGGCTCGCAGTGGCCAGGCCCCGCCCTTCGCTCCCTCTCGTGCGCCCCTTCGTCGGGCAGCACGAGGGCGGCAAGAGGGCCAGGGGATCCAGACGCCAGCGGGACACCGACGAGGAGGCTTCGCCACGGGCATCTCACCACCACCCTCGTCGGACAAGAGACAAACACAGGGCCTGAAGCCTCCTTGGCACGCTCCTGGGTGACAAGAAGGATTCGCCACGGACATCACCACCACCACCACCACCCGTATCGGATCAGACACAAACACAGGGCCTGAAGCCTCCTTGGCACCTTCCTGGGCGACCACCCGCATCGTCAGTGGAACAAAAAATGGCATAAGCATAAAAACTCGGAGGTCCGCGCGGATTTCTCGGATCGGCGCTGGACCCCCCTCCCTGGCGCGCGGAGCGCGCCAGGGGCGGCGTCGGAGGCGCCGCTGGGGGGCCCCAGCGCCGATCCGAGGAATCCGCGCGGACCTCCCAGTTCTTGTGTGTTTATGTAGTTTTTTGTTCCCCTAATCGTGTGCATGTGTTTGGTGCCCGACCGCCGTGGTCCCACTCGACCAGCACGCCCGCGTGGTACGTCTGCCTGTCTCGGAGGGTCTCCTCCTCCACGGGGTAGCGGTGGGCGAACGCGTGGCACGCGGTCGCCTCGGCCCTCGCGCACGGGCTGCCGGCCCTCTCCAGCTCCGCGAGGATCTGCTCGCCACAAAGGAAGCTGGATCTGGGTTCCCGTCGATTTCTTCAAATCTTTTAGATTCCAGAAGGGCGAAGCGTCCTGGCTTGCCTAGTTACGAATGGCTTGCCCAGTGGTAAGCCCACCAAAGAATATGATGCTAACCTTTCGTGGTCTGCACTGGATGTTCTTAGAACATTTCCAGCCGAGGCTGTCTTGCTTTAACGCATCAGTTCTAAGAACATTGTTGGTTCTAAGATCATGTCGTGGTAGGCCTACAGGAATACCAGGACGGCCAGTCCCTGCTCAATGAATCGTCAAATCAGACCTTCGTGCGTAAGGCGGGCGTGTGGGGTCGTTGGGCGTGCGTACGTAGGGTGCGTTGGCATCCTGTACTCATGTTTCTGAGCACGCCTAAGTGAGCTTCCAGTGGTCGTTTGGGGTATGTTCGTTTGGGTGGTAGATGGTCTTCTCGGGTATGCCTAGACGAGGTTAGAGTGGTGGGTCTGAAAAATCAAAGAGAACCCAAAGCTGGACCACGCCCCGGGGGTCTGCTGCAGGATGCTGCGCGGGGTGAACCACCACACGAACCCCTCGGAGCCTTCTACAAATCCGGACCGCGTCCACGCTGGCGCCATGAGAGTGGCCCTGGTGCCCTTCGCGATGCGCGCCGGGTCAGGCAGTTTTCCGCCCGAGCCGGCGGACCACACGCGCTCGATGCCGACCCTCGCCGGCACTGTCGAAGCCCGTGGGCCTCGGCAACACACGACATCCAGAAATGCCTGTAGAAGAGAAGCACGGCACAAACGCAACCTCTCGAAGGTCCTCGCGGACCTCCGAGCAGTTGTCTATGCACTTGTTTCTTCTTCGAGCCTGTGCCAAGGAGGACGTGACGTCCGAGGCAGCAGGGATGCCCGCGAAGCGGGTCTTCCTCGTCAGCGACACCAGCTCCAGACCCACCAGGCCTGGCCAGCCGTTGAGCCGCTGGCGAAGGAGCCAGCGGCCACTTTCGAGCTCCAGCCCGGCCAGGAGTTCGGACACCTTTATTGGCAAGGCTTCGGGTTGCGCACAGGCAGCCCCCCAGGTAGTCCCGGCTTGGAAGTGGCCGGGGGGTCTGAACTGCATGGGGCCTGAGAAAATCTGTCAAGAAGGAAGGATCAGTGCAAGTATGCTGGATGTCGGTCCCTGGACCCCTCCCAGGCTTCACCTCGTGCAGATTTCAGCCTCGGAAATATTTTTGACGGTCCTGTGGGCCGAAAACGGCTTCCTGGGAACCGAGAGAAGCCGAAAGCCTTCTCGAACCCAGCACCCCGGACCAGCAGTCGTCTATTCAAAGGCTTCCCGTGATTTCCGAATTGTGGGAAGCCCATCGGTCTCGCGTCTCGCCAAATAGGGGTTTCTGGCGGCCCCATAATTCGGAATCGCGGGGAACCCATAGATAGACAACTGCCGGCCAGGTTACCCATGCGCACAAACACGCGCCGTGTGCCCCGCACGGCGACGTGGGGTAACCTGTGAGAAGCGGCGACTCGGCGCTCAGATTCCGAACTATGGGAAACCCATCGGTTGCAAGATTCCCTAGGGTTTCTGGCGACCTCTGGGTGTCCCATAATTCGCGGCGGCGAGCGGGGTCCATATTCCGAACTATGGGAAACCCATGTCGCCAGATTCCCTAGGGTTTCTGGCGACCTATGGGTGTCCCATAATTCGCGGCGGCGAGCGGGGTCCATATTCCGAAGTATGGGAAACCCATGTCGCCAGATTCCCTAGGGTTTCTGGCGACCTATGGGTGTCCCATAATTCGCGGCGGCGAGCGGGGTCCATATTCCGAAGTATGGGAAACCCATGTCGCCAGATTCCCTAGGGTTTCTGGCGACCTATGGGTGTCCCATAATTCGCGGCGGCGAGCGGGGTCCATATTCCGAAGTATGGGAAACCCATGTCGCCAGAAACCCTAGGGAATCTGGCGACCTATGGGCTTCCCATAATTCGCGGCGGCGAGCGGGGTCCAGATTCCGAATTATGGGAAGCCCATAAGCAGAAACCCCTAGAGTTTCCCATAATTCGCGGCAGCGAGCGGGGTCCAGATTCCGAATTATGGGACGCCCAGATGTCGCCAGAAACCCCGAGTGAATCTGGCGACCTATAGGTTTCCCATAATTCGATGCGGCGAGCGTGCTCCAGATTCCGAATTCTGGGTCCCGATTTTGGACGGCAGATGAAAAATAGTAAAAACAAAGAATCCAAAAATTACCCCCATTGATTATTGCTCCTGAGGAGGGACACGCCCGACTGCACGCTAGTGCTTCTAACACCATCTAAGGCCAGGGCTCCCTGGGGGGGGCCGTCTGCACGCCGCCCGAAGCCTTGCCAACCGGCGGCCTCCCAGATGGGGATTCTGAGCAGGCGGGGCCGCAAGATCGCTGTGCATCGCCGGTGCGTTACCGATGCGCACATCGGCGATGCTTCGGCGACGCCGGCGGTGCATCCAGGAAAAAACGCCAGAAACTGAAACTTTTGGCGCTCCACGCGGATGTTTCGGACCTGCGCCGGGCCCCCCTCCCTGGCGCGCGGAGCGCGCCAGGGGCGGTGCCGCCGGGGCGGCCCGTCGCGGATCCAAGAAATCCGCGCCCAGCGCCTAAAACCTATGTTTATGCTCTTGTTCTTCTCCGGGCGTCACCGATACGTAGTGACATCGGAGATGCTTCGGCGACGTCGGCGATGCATCGGCGCCGTACCGTGCACCACGTCGAGCTGCATCGCCGATGCATCGGTGGTGCAGCGCGACCCGCCGATCCCATCTGCTCGCGGGCCTCACTTGGGAGGCCTGGATGGCCAACCTTGATCATTGGCATCGGCCTGCAGGGCTTGATCGTCCCCCCGGGCGCGCTCGCAGCGTCGGAGAAGTCGTCCGACATGACCTTGGCGTGCCACACGGCGCCGCCCGAGGACGGTGCCGACCACGCGGCGGCGCCGTCTGGGGCGGCGGGCGCTGGGGCGCAGTGCCCCACCGGTGGCTCCTCAAGTACCCCGACGCCAACAACGCAGGCGATCGGCTCTGAACACCTCCCCGCGTCGTCGGCCTCAGAGTCAGAGCTGCTCTTCGCACGCCCGAAGTGGGGTACGGCAAGGCTGGGCACGCTGCCCAGCAGCAGGTGTTGTCCGACACCGGCAGCGACTGCTGTGTCCGGCGTCAAGAATCAAAAAGAAACATGGTGAAACATCACTACTACCAATCCCGCCAGTCCTTTAGGGCGTGAGTGGTTTACAGAATTTCTTCTTCCAACCCCCCTTCTTCCCCTTCACCTTCCCCCTTCAAGGAGGGGTTTACTCCTCCCCCATACCCGCTCCCCCTGGGTCTGGTCGGGGGTTCCGCGAGGGGCTGGAGCGTCCAAGATGGCCTCGGCGAGGAAGCCAACATCATTGATTTACGTGGGTGTTGGCCACATGCTGGCCTGCTGGGTGGGCGACGCTAATTCAGGAGCTCCTCTCCTTTGACCGATCTCCTCCAAGATGGCCCCAAGATGGCCCCCGAGGCTCCCGAGGGTGCCCCGAGAGGTGCCCAGGCGGCCCCAAGAGGCCCCAAAGGTGCCCCAAAGAGGCTCCCAAGAGACCCTCAAGAAGCCCCCCAGAGGCCCCCCAGAGGCACCCAAGACGCCCAAAGAAGCCTCGGCGAGAAAGCCATCATCATTGATTTTACCAAGGTGTTGGCCACATGCTGGCCTCTTGGGGAGAGACCCTAACAGCCCCCCTCATATGGCCTCCGAGGCCCCCAAGAGCGCTCCAAGCGGGCCTCAAAAGGTGCACAGGAGGTTCCAAGAGGCTCCCAAGAGGCCCCCAAGAGGCTCCCAAGAGACTCCCAAGAGACTCACCAAAGGCCCCCCAGAGGGACCCAAGAGACCCCCAAGTGGCCCCCCGGACTGCCCAGAGATCCCCAAGACGCCCTAAAAGGACTCCAAGAAGCTCGCGAAAAAAATCCGAAGAGACTGCAAGAGGCATCCAAGAGGCCTCTGGCATCTCTGTCCGCAATCCTCCTCCTCATCCTCTTCCTCCTCTTCTTATTCCTCCTCTTCCTCCTCTTCTTATTCCTCCTCCTCCTCCTCCTCCTCCTCCTCCTCCTCTTGCTCCTCCTCCGATTCCTCCTCCATCGCCCCCCCTCGTGGGGCACGACGTCTTACCAAGCCCTTGATTCCACTGCATTATCCTCCACATCCCTGATCAAGGCAACTCGTCTGGGCATCGTTTCTGAATGGGCTGGTGGGGTCGCTTGAAGCGTCTAGAATTTTTCAAGCCGGATCGATATGTGAGGGTCCTAGGGCAAGAGCCCGGGCGAATCGACCAGGGTTCGTCCCAGTCTTCTCCGCACCCACTTCTAAGGTGCCGATGCTCGCCGCCCTGTCGTCGTCCGACCAGCACCCCGACAGCATGGCCTCTGGCGGGGGGAAGACGCAGGCGGACCTGAGTCGGCTGCACGCATCGGGTGTTGCTTGAGGTGCCTCTGGCCCACGGTGCCCCCAGGATCTCCGAGAAGGCCCCCACGGCCTCCAGAGCACCCCTCACGAGGCCCAAGGGGCCCAGGGGGTCCAACACGGAGCGAACAGCTGGGGGCATCCTGGGCCAGGGGCACCTTTGGCACCCCCCGAACTCAAGAGTGACCCTGGGCAAGAGCGACCACTGCTGCTCGACTTTCGGGGGCCGCGGAGAGGCCAAAACCACAGCGCGCAGGACGCTGCTGCCGTGTCGCGTCCGGTCGTCTGGGGACCCCAGGTGTGCCCGCACGACACCAGGGGCACGATCTTCGCGCTTCGCGCTCGGCGAAACCCGAAGCGCCATATGATCTTCGCGCTTTCGCGCTGACCCCTCCCGGGAACAGGATGAGGGACTCGCGCCTCGCTCTGAAATAGACCGCGGAGCGCGAAACTAGAGGAAGAAACGAATGTGATGGGCTTGGTTTCCACCACCACTACCATAGGTTGGAGGGATAGGTCCTCCTCCTCCTCTTCTTTCTCCTCCTCCTCCTCCTCCAACATATGGTAGTGGTGGTGAAAATCAGTCCCATCAGAATGAATAAACGTAAACGTTTGTGGGTCCGAGCGGATTTCTTGGATCTGCGCTGGGCCCCCTTTCTGGCGCGTGGAGCGTGCCAGGGTCGGCGCCAGAGGGCGCCGCCAGGGGGGGCCCATCGCGGACAAAAAAAAATCCGCGCGGACAACCAAGAGTTGATGCTCGTGCTGGGTTCTGCCCTTTGAGAGACGCGACTGACTTCGCACCCTCGTGGTGGCTAAGACGACGCCAAGACGAGGGTAAAAGCGGGTGCGGAGAAACCGAGAATCTCTGACATCCGGCGGCTCTGGAGGATATCTGGAGCGCCGCAGCCTTCTCAGAGCGTTCCGGACGCTCTGGAAGCGTGCCGTAACGCTCTGGAACGGATTTATGTGACGGGGCCCTGGGACACACAAATGAATACACACATATAACAGGATTCCCCGTATTTTCCTTTATTGTCTGGGTTTCTGTCTTCCCCTCCACGTCCCATATTCTCCCATATTTTCGGGGGAATCGACGATTAATTGTGTCTGTGTGTGTGTGTTTTTTCCCCTCCTGAGAAGAGGTCACTCGGGCGAGAGCCCACTCCTACTGTAGGAGCTCGACAACAAGAAGCCTTCCACAAGAAGCCCAACCCTGGGACCCCAGGGCGTCCATTGGTATGGGAACGTCGCGCTCTCCATAGCAACAGCATCGAAACCCAAGAAACCCAGGGCACCCCAGAGGCAAGCAGGGTGTTTCTTGGCTTAGGTCGGGCATGTCCTCCTATGGGCGGATGTTGGGGGAAAAATAAAATAGTCCAGAGGCATACCGGAACAGTCCAGCATAACAGAAACATCGTGCCCAGACTATCTCTCGACTATTCTTGGAATCTTCCTCCTGTAGAGTGACAGGCCCGACTCAATCCTTGGCATGGGTCTCCACTTCAGGGCTGAACCTAAACGGTGTCTTTCGTTTTCGTTTTGTTTTCGTTTTCCCTCGTTCTGTCTCCAGTGCGCCTCTCACACAGAACGAAATCGAAACGAAAACGGCCCACGAGATCGCCCAAACACCGTTTAGGTCCACCCCTGCTCCACTTTGCGCTAAGTCGGGCCTGTGCCCCTACAGGGGGATCTTCGACGAAGAATAAACAATACCCCACACATAATAAACAAATTGCCCAAACATAGTCCGGGGACGATTGTTCGAGTATGTTTTGACCTTTTTGGGGGCATTCTTGGGGTATTTTTTTCATTTTTCGTCGAAGCTCCCCCTGTAGGGGGACAGGCCCGACATACAAGTTTTGGCGCCTCGGCAGGACCTCGAGCGCCCCCGCGCGGCGCCGCCCTGCTCCCCCCCGGGGGCGGAGGCCGCGGAGAGCGCGAGCGCCCTGCGCGGGCGGGCCCTCGGCGAGGCGGCCGCCCCCTCGCGGGGCCACGCCTGAGGGGGGGGGGGGCTCGCGGGCGGGGGCGAGGCCGACGACGACGACCACGACGGCGAGGACCAACAGACGAAGAAGAAGAAGAAAAAGAAAAAAAAGAAGAAGAAGAAAAAGAAGAAGAAGAAGAAGAAGAAGAAGAATAAGAAAAGCGGCAGGAGCATCGACTGTTTGGCGCCCCGCGCGGAGTTCTGGGATTGGGGCCGGAACCCCCTCCCTGGCGCGCGGAGCGCGCCGGGGGCGCCGCCGCGAGGGCCCAGCGCGGATCCAACACATCCCCGCGGAGCGTCAACAATTTATGTTTACGCCGCTTTTCTTCTTCGGGGCGGGGCCGCCGACGGCGACCACGACGGCGAGGACGAGGACGAGGACGGCGGCGACGAGGGGGGCGGAGGCGACGGCGAGGACGAGGACGAGGGCGACGAGGACGAGGACGAGGACGAGGACGAGGGCGACGAGGACGAGGACGAGGACGAGGACGAGGACGAGGGCGACGAGGACGAGGACGAGGACGAGGACGAGGGCGACGAGGACGAGGACGAGGACGAGGACGACGAGGAGGACGGCGGCGACGAGGAGGGCGGAGGCCAGGACAGGGGGCGAGGGCGAGGACCGCGGGCGGCGACGGAGGGCCGCGGAGAGCCCCGAGAGGCCGAGGGGCGGCACGGCGAGGGGGGGCGTTCCGACATGCGAGGGGGGGGATCTTCCTCCTCCCTCCTCCTCCTCCTCCTCCTCCCTCCTCCTCCTCCTCCTCCTCCTCCTCCTCCTCCTCCTCCTCCTCCTCCTCCTCCTCCTCCTCCTCCTCCTCCTCCTCCTCCTCCTCCTCCTCTCCTCCTCCTCCTCCTCCTCCTCCTCCTCCTCCTCCTCCTCCTCCTCCTCCTCCTCCTCCTCCTCCTCCTCCTCCTCCTCCTCCTCCTCCTCCTCCTCCTCCTCCTCCTCCTCCTCCACCTCCTCCCTCCTCCTCCTCCTCCTCCTCCTCCTCCTCCTCCTCCTCCTCCTCCTCCTCCTCCTCCCTCCTCCTCTCCCTCCCTCCCTCCCCCCTCCCCTCCCTCCCTCCCTCCCTCCCTCCCTCCCTCCTCCCCTCCTCCTCCTCCTCTTCCACCTCCTCCTCCTCCTCCTCCTCCTCCTCCTCATTGTCCTCCTCCTCATCTCCTCCTCTCCTCCTCCTCCTCCTCCTCCTCCTCCTCCTCCTCCTCCTCCTCCTCCTCATCCTTCTGAGAGCCTCCTGCAGGAGGCAGACAAGCGCGCTCCACTGCTCGCAGGGTCAGCTGCTCGCAAAGAGGGCCTGGGTCCGCCGCGGGAATTGGACGGGTCACGACACGAACGGAAGGCACGCTTCGTGGTCGCACGCCTGCGAGCCAGCACCTCTGCGAGTAGTGGAACGCGCTCGGCGAGGAAGGGCAGGAGCACGGCACCGGGGCAACCATCTCCGCGCTCCGCGCTCCGCGGAGCGCCTCGGGGGCCGCGGGGAGGCCACGCCCGACGGGGGGAGACGGTGGCGAGGGCAGAGCCGATCGGCAGGAGGGGGGGGGCGGGAACGGAGCACGGTTGGGAGACAGTTTACCAGCTTCGAACGTATCCTTATCCCTAAGATTGACACGCCAAAAGGCGACGACAATCTTAGGGATGCGTCCTCAAAAAAAAAGGGAACCCCTAAGATTGGCATCGTGATGAGGAGGTGCCCAGCATAGGGATAGGGATATGTTCCAGGCTGGTAAACAGTGCGGCCAGAAACGTGATCAAGGAACTCACCACTCAAGAAGTATGGGCCAGCTTCCCAAGAGCTCCCCAGGACAAGCCTGGGCCAAACTCTGCTGCTCACGCTGGAGGGGCGAACGTGCTCCGAGAGCTGGGCCGCCATTCCGGCACGCCGGTTAAGAACCGCTGGCCCAGCTTTTCGGGAGGAGGCGTCTTACACCCCTGCTGGACGTTATGGAAATTCGAGGCTGGGAAAATGGACTTCGCTCGAAGCGTTTTCTCAAACAACAGTCGAGGTCCACACAGTCGAACGTTCTCTGCAAGAAGCAGCTTGAAGAGAACTCCCAGGGGCCAGCCCACATTCTTGAGCTTCTTCATCGAAATCTGGAGTGCATGGAAGTGGATGCCTTTTTCTCAAAGGGTTCTGAAGTGTGTAATCCGATGCTCGACTGTGTCCGTTTCGGACATACTCGGACATAGCAGAAGTAACAACGACATAAACATAATCTCTTGGCGCTCTGCGCGGATTCAGGGGCGGCGCTGGGGGCGCCGCCAGAGGGGCTCTGGCGCGAATCCAAGAAGTCCGCGCGGAGCGACGAAAGTTTATGTTTACGGCGTGATTGTTGTTTTTCTCCTGCGAACGAAAGCCGAGGTCTTTCTTATCAGTTCTCATGTGTATATGATCCGGCGCTCGACTGTTTCCGATGCTCGGACAGCGGCCTCAGAGCGAGGGGTTCCCTCGCTCTGAAGCCCGATGGCTTTGGATCAAAAAGCGCGTTACAAGTTGAACGCAACTTGGAGATCGCGCCAAATCTGGGGGGGGGGAACGGGCCTTCTCCAACCGCCGATCTACTAGTATCAGAAAGAAAATCAAAACATAACAATTGACCTCCAAACTTTCTGCTATTGGTCAGTGCTGAGAGGGAGCAGACGTCCGCGGAGCGGGGCCGCCGCTCGACTCGCAGACGCCGGGGCCCCTTCAGAACGCGATTAAGGGAAACTGGGGCACACAAATAAATGCCCACAAATAAATGGATTCCCCATATTTCCTATATTTTCGGCGTTTCTGTCTTCCCCCCCACTTCCCATATCTTCTGGGGGATCGACGATTAATTGTGTCTGTGTGTTTCTTCTCCTCCTGATGCGAGGCCGCGCCAGCCCGCCGCAAGCCAGAGCCCGAGGCAGACCGCCGCAGCCTCTCCTTTCGCGGGGCTCGCGGCCAGCGTTAGGTCGGGCACGTCCTCCTCCCTCCTCCTCCTCCTCCTCCTCCTCCTCCTCCTCCTCCTCCTCCTCCTCCTCCTCCTCCTCCTCCTCCTCCTCCTCCCCCTCCTCCCTCCCCCTCCCCTCTTCTCCCCTCCTCCTCCTCCTCCTCCTCCTCCTCCTCCTCCTCCTCCTCCTCCTCCTCCTCCTCCTCCTCCTCCTCCTCCTCCTCCTCCTCCTACGCAAGACATTGCGCCCGAAGATCCCCCGACGAGCAACCGAAGGCAAAGCCGAACGAGCTAGGGCACGGGCCCAGTGGCCAGCACTCTGAGAACTCGAAAGGAACCCGCTGAGGTGCGCCTGTACTCTCTGCGTCTGAGCATGTCCCAGATCTTCTTGGCTCAGACAGGAAGACCCCCTGAGCAACTGGAAGACAGACTGGGGAGGCGAGACGACGAGATGACACCACAGCGAGACCAACCGACCAGGACGACATTGTTCTGGAGAGAGAACTTGACCAGAGCGTGAGGCCTCTCACCCTTCGCACTGAGGGCCCGGGAAGCTCTGACTGCACGCGAAACAATGTCCTGGGGCAAGGTCTCCTGCACTATCAGGAGCTTTGGGGTGGGGGGTTCCACGCTGGAGCGAGGGAGGGTGGGAGGAGTTGGGAAGGCCCTCGCCCACCTTGCCCACCCACCTCACCCAGGACTTCAAAACCTTGATTCTGGAAGCGACGGCGGCAGCTTGCAGCGGCGGCAGACGGACGGCCTGGGCCGCCCACTTGGCGTGGCGGTCGGCCATGTCGTTGCCGAACTTGTCACGAGTCGTGCCGCGTCCCGATCGGACGTCCGTGCTCGAGGAGTGGGCAAGCACCTTCACGAAACGAACCGCCTCACAAAACTCAGAACCGTCAAAACCCCAATCCCCGAGCCTGGCCCACACCTCGCGCCAGACAAAACAGTGCGTGTCTAGCACATGAGTGGTGTGCACACGGCCTCTGGACAGCACACCGCCGAAGACATATTTAGAGTCGGTGTGCAGAACGAAGGGCGGACACGCATGCTTGAGACACTCTAGCAGAGCCGCCAAATCTGCCTCATTGATGGTGGGCAACTCAGAGAAAAGCGGGCCACACAACAGAGCAGAGACCTCGCGGAGGGCGCGGGCGCTTTTGGACAAAGCAACCACAGCCCAGCCTCCAGAGGCCCAGGGCCCCATGTCACCTTCGAAAATAGAGCCACCCAGGAAGACGTCTCCCGTGGGCCGATCAGGGGACCCGTGGACCCAGAGCAGAGGAGGGAGGTCAGGAAAAGAGGGTCGGTCAAAAAACGGCATCGGTGCTAAACATCTCTCGGCGAGCAGCTGCGGGAAACCTCCGTTACTCGCGGCTTCGCCGAGAGACTGACACAAGACATGCGGCTCTTCAAACTGCAGGGCGTGCTGCGCGCAGCTGCAGTGTCTGTGCGTGAGCGTGCCTAGCTTGATGGAGCCAGCGGCGAGGCAGGCTATGCAGTTGGGGTCCACGGGGTAGCCAGCTTTCCACTGCCTCGCCATTAGCTACTGTGCTCCAATCGCGACCGAGCGCACGTACGCACGGTGCTGCGGCAGTGCCCTGGGGCGCAAGAAAGCTGAGATGGGAGCTACGAGCACACCATCACAAAATTCGGGTGCTTCAACATGCTCGGTTATCCTCGCGCACTGCCACAGATATACTGCTCGCATTACATGCTGCTTAACTACATACGGGCAGGCCTCAGAAATATTCAGCACTCGACCTTCAGGAAAACTCCAGAGATCCAAGGAACGAGCTCGAACTCCAACCCGATGTAGAGAAGCCCAGAGAGTGGTGAAAGGTCCTGCTATGGAGCCCCAGGGGTACTTCACAAGAGGCTGAGGTGGGCATCCACTTGCCTGAGACTCGCATCTAAGACCTGTCGGGGCATCCAAGATTCATGTAGACATAGCAGGAATACCTTAACGGGCAACCAAGTGGCCCCGATGCTGGGATCGAGGTCCTTGGTGGGCGCCAACATAAGGGAGAGAGTGAGGCTCTTACCCGCTTGCTTATGATCCTGAAGATTGCCTGCTAGACTGCGGAGCGTGTTGAGCTCCTTGTTGTTGACTCCAGTGACGGCCGTGCCGAAAGAGGTGGCACCCTCGAACGCCGCTCGACTCATCTGCCCTAGTAGCTTCCTTCGGGGTCGGCCTGACTTCAAAGCAGACATGCGAGCTCGACGTTTCTTGGTGACCTTGAATCGAGCAGCCGTGGTGTACCTAGGACGCACTTTGCCAGAAGCGTACTGTAGTCGACCCCCACGTTGCGCTCGGTGACAGCGGCCTGAATCCCAAGATGCCGAAGGTTGCGAGCGAGACGAAGCCGAAGTTTCTGCGAATTGCTTAGCACCCTGCCTCTATCAACTGCGAGCTGCATGTCAACTTTGTGCAATTCAGAAACAAGTGTCGTGGCTGACTGCTGGAGCTCGTCTCCCACGCGCACCTCGCCACCGAAGCGCTGGAGGGACAAGTCATCCACGTTGACGGCTAAAACAACGGAGCGACGCGCCGCTTGGACTCTATCGAGGGGACCAAGCAGCAGCAATTGTAGCATCAGCGTAGCAAACGTGCAACCTGGCACCACCGTTTGCTGCGCCTCAATGGAGTCACTGCAGACCCCTTGAAGATCCAGCACGCGTGGAGCACGGTAAAAGTCTGTCAAAAGGCGAAGCTGCCAGAGCGGGAAGTGTGTGTTTATGGCAGCCTGCAACAGGTGATGATGCTGCACATACTCGAACGCTTTCTTGAGACCCAGGAGTATAGTCCCTGAGCAGTGTCCCCGTATAGTGCAGTACTCAGACCAGGCACTGGATATCCAAACACACTTCTCCGCAGAGCGCCCCTTGGTAGACCACCAAAAATGTCGGAAGTCACGTTTCTGCCACGCTCCTCCTCCTCCTCCTTCTCATCCTCCTCCTCCTCCTCCCCCTCCTTCCCCTCTCCCTCTCCCTCCTCCTCCTCCTCCTCCTCCTCCTCCTCCTCCTCCTCCTCCTCCTCCTCCTCCTCCTCCTCCTCCCCCTCCGCGGGGCTCTCGGGTTTTGGAAGAAAGATGAAGCAAGTACTAATCAAAAAGAGACACAGAACAGCCCACAGGGCACGACAAATCGGCACCAGGCTGTCTGTTGACTATTCTCTGGATCTTCCCCCTGTAGAGGGACATGCCCGACCCGAGGCACCAGGGATGACCCTGCGGGGGGCGAAGGGAAAGTCGAGGGGGGGACGGACGGGCAGGACCGCAAAGGGCAGGGCAGAGAGCCCAGCTCTCGCGCAGCTGGTCCTCCTGGCGCCTGCCGGCGCCGGGATGCGCCCAGGCGTCGAGGAATGGGCCCGGCGGCGGGAAGCCAGCTGCATGCAGCAGACGTCGTGGCCCCCCCCTTGTCCCTAGCCTGCCCTTTCGTGCGGCCCGAGGCGAGCGGGGGGGGGAAAGGAGAAGGAGAAGGCCCGTCTCAGAAGGGTGCGGGGCTCCTCAGAAGCCCTCGCGCCTTCTGAGAAGTCTTCTGTGCCGCCTGGGCAAACTCAGAAAACTTCTCAGAAGGTCGGGAGACTTCCGAGCCGCCTTCTGAGAAGGCCCGCCCCTTCTCTAGGAGCCTCCTAGATGGGGTCCGGGTAGATGGTGTCGGAGGATCGCGCCGCATCGCCGATGCATCACCGATACATCGACGATGCATCGACGATGCATCGGCGACGTCGGCGATGCGTCGGCGACGTCGGCGTGGAGAAAATCGGGCTCCACATCGAGCCTCGTCGCCGATGCATCGGCGATGCGGCGCGATCCTCCCACCCCATCTTCTCGGACCCCATCTGGGAGGCCTAGACATTCTCACTTCGCCCCCCCCGGGCTCGCCGCCGAGAAAGGGGAATCTGTGGCGCTCGACGAGAGCAACAAACGCGATGCGCACGTCTCAACTCGCGCGGTCGGCCCAACCCCTCGGACGACGGCGAGGACGGAGAGGGGGGCGGGACGATCAACGACTGCTACGACGACAGCGACCACCACGGGTGACGGTACACGGCCCAGATCCCTTCGAGCCCACGGACGACGGCACACGGTGAGTGCATTGGGTAAGGAACCATTGGGACAGGCATCCAGGAGCTGGGCGCCAGTGGAATACCACAGCCGTCCTCAGCAGACAGGAAGCCCCCAAGGTCTCCGCCAGGGCCGGGGCCAAATCGCACACGGATGAACATAGAGGACGTCTGAGCTCCGACGAGTCCGAAGGACACGCCAGGCGCCGCGGCCGTTCCAGAGCGCCCCAGAAGCTCTGGCACGACTATAGTGAAGGGGCCCTGGGACACACAAATAATGACACACACACACACACAAATAACCGGATTCCCCATACTTTCCCATATCTTCGGGGTTCTTGTCTCCCCCCCCCACTTCCCATACGGTCCCATCTTTTCTGGGGAGTCGGCGATTCATTGTGTCTGTGTGTTTCCCCCCCCCTGATATAGGCCTGGCCCCGGGCCCGCCCGGAGGACGCGCGGGGGGGGGGGGGGGGAATCCGGCTCGAGGGGGGGGCAGGGGGGAGGGCGGGGCACCGCGAGCCCGCCTCGGCGACGCGCCGCCGAGGGCTCTCCGCGCCAAGAGCCCCCATCGCGAGAAGCCGCACATCACTCTCCCGGGCGGGGCGGGCCACGCGCCGGGCCCCTGCTGGTGGCGGTCCAGGGCCGCTCGTGAAGGGGCCCTGGGACACACCAACAGATACACACAAATAAAAAGATTCCCCGTATTTTCCCATGTTTTCTCGGCTCCTCTCTTCCCCCCCACTCCCCATGTCTTCCCATATCTTCCTGGGACTCGACGATTCATTGTGCCTGTGTGTTTTTTCCTTCCTGAGCTTGGGGGGTCGCTGCGCCCCCTCGGGAGCGGCCAAGAGGGGGGTGTCCAAGAGGGGGGGTGCAAATCATGACCGGCGGCATGTGCGCGGCCCAGCGGGGGGGGCCAGGGACGTAATTAGATAAGAAGAGGCGCCCTGAAACCTGGGGAAATATCATGGCCCGCGCCATGATATCCACCCCCCCCCCCTGTCATCACCCCCTTCTTTTCCGCCCCCGAGCTGCGCCCCCCCCCGCACCCACAGACAGGCCCCCCTCCCCGGGGCAGCGCTGCCCGCGAAGACCCCGCCGGGGCACTCTCGGTCGGGCGGCGCCCGCCCGCCGCCGCTGCCGACCCACACGGCCGGCGCCCCACCGCCTGCAGTGCGCGGGACCCTCGAGGTCCGACTACAGTCGGGCTTCACTGGAGAGGACACGCGAGAGGACACAAGTCAAGGGGCCCAAGGACACACAAATAAATACACACAAATGAAATGATTCCCCATATTTTTCCATATTTTCTGGGGACTCGACGATGCATTGTGTCTGTGTGTTTCCTTCCCCCCTGACTACAGTCGGACTTCACTGGAGAGGACACGCGAGAGGACACAAGACCCCTCCGAGGGCCACGTCGCCACAGAAATGCAGTAGGCACGGGTCGCGAGACACAGGGCACGAGGGTACCCTTGCTTTGGCAGGGTCGGCCTACTCATCCGGGCCGACTGTACCTACCAGACCACCCCAACCCGACACGAAGACCTCAGGTTCGGGTTGGGGGCGGCTCGTGTTTTTCACTGTTCCCCTGCGCGCCCCCCCCACTGGGAATGGAGGGTAACTTGGCGCCTCCGGGTTGGGTTGGGGTGGTTTGGTTGGTGTGGTGAAGGTCTGGACCACTTCCCTGGGGCTGGTTGTTCGTCCCGAGTCGCTGTTTGACGGCCCCACGGCCCGCTGAGGGCTCCCGCGGAAGGCGAAAAGAGCTCAAGAACCGGCCGCTCCACTTCTTCTGGAGCCTCCTCACTTGGAGGAGGGCGAGTGGAGATACTGGAGACTCAAGCTCCGCTCAGAATCGGTCCCCAGACCCCTCCCGGGGTCCGAACGCAGCAGTTCTCCGAGCTGCGTCCAGCCGTGGCGCCGAGGGGGCCGCCCGAGGGCCAAGTACAGTAGGAGCTCGAGCACCAGAAACCTTCCACGAGAAACCCAACCCTGAGACCCCAGGGCGTCCACTGATGTGTGATGTGGGCACGTCGCGCTTCCCATAGCAAAACCATCGAAACCCAAGAAACCCGGGGCACCCTGGATGCAAGCAGGCTGTTTCTTGGCATAGGCCCCCACTCCACCAATCTATCAAGCGGCCCTCCGCTGACTCACGCCGCCCCCCGAATGCCCCGCGGGCCTCTCTCGGCCCAGCTGCGCTGGCCATCGCCGCCGCTCGAGCCTCCTCGGATCAGGGAAACGTAAGGCTCGGGTTCTGGGGACTCGGATTGGCCTGACGGGGCCGTCAAAAAATTGGCGAGACCCGACTTGAAATTTGACGCGAGCTCCCGCTGCAAACCTCCCCCGAAAACTGGACCGTCAAAATCTGGGACGGGCTCATCAAGAAGCGTCGGCAGATCCGAGTTCCAACGTACTCGAGTCGCACGACTCCCCGGCAAAGGTACTAACGCTGTTCCCCCGACCTCTCACAGTGCGTTCCGACTAGAATTTCGAGGCGAATCCAGCCGTAGCGACGAGGGCCTCCCAGGAGGCCCAAAGAAGCAAAAACGAAAAACGAAGTGGGGGTCGCGGTTCCGGCGAACCCGACCCAGACCCCGACGTCATGATTTGTTCATGACGTTGTTGCTCCCCAAAGGTCTCGATCCTTTCCCCTGGAGCGGTTTTTCATCCCGAGTCGTTTTGTTGACGGTCCCGAGGCCTGGTAAGGCCGAAAATAGCGAAAAAACTCCCGTCGCGATTTTTCATGACTCGAGCGGGTCTGGGGGCAGCGGTTCCTGGGCCCCGGGGGGCGATAAACGGGGGGGACAGCGAGGGCTGCAGAAAAGGAGCCAGAAGGGAGCCCCTGGGCCCCGAAAATCTGACCTTTCTCCCCCCGCCCACTTATCGTCCCCCCCATTACAGAGGCCTCCTTGATGTGGTCTCAGTAAATGGGGTCGGGGGATCACACCACATCGACGATGCATCGGCGATACATCGAGGATGCATCGGCGATGCACTGGCGACATCGCCGATGCATTGGCGCTATCGGCGTGGAGAAATTCTGACTCCACATCGATCCGCATTGTCGACGCATCGGCGATGCGGCGAGATC